AACCCGGATTCTAACTGGAGACACCTCGGGTTAGCAGTCTAGTTTTCTACAGTTGCCGAGCCCTCTAACAATTCGACCACGCCGTCCCATATACACAATGCAGCAGTAATCAAATTCATTCAAAATATTTATATTATTTTAATGTATATAACTAATCTAGAAACATTATCCTTACAATTAGGTTCATTACACACATCTATCTACCAAATCTACAACATTGTATACTATATTTTTTTAAATAATCTCACACGCATGCTGATTGGACGAAGAGATGCTATAATTAGCTTATCAATAAACCCCACTCAGCGAATGGGAATTCCCTAATTTCCGAGTCTTCGTGAGAATTTTTTTTTCAATGGATCGGAATAAATGACGTATTTACCCCTGTATCGCGTGATAGGAAAAAAAGCTGAATGGTTCTCAATTTCTCAAGTGGCTTAGCTGTCATTCGTGATCCACCTCACATTCTTCTGATTGTAGAGCGTCAAGATAAACAAAAAATCATTAAATCGAATTTTTTTAGCATTTGAAAATTTTCAAGGATTTTTTAAACATGCAGGAATCACGTTACAGATCAGGATCTGTATCTCAGAGTCCGGTGTTCAAATCCAGGCCAGGGAGTAATGTGAACAAACTGCGTTGCAGTCAAAACTCAAGCAAGTACGCAAAGACATTGATAAAATCCGAACTCATGTTTCTAAATTCGTTCAACGGAATTAAACGCAAAAAAAAGAACAACACAAAGCCAATAGAAAATAGAAAATCCCATTTTACAAATATACACTTAAATTATAAAAAGTCCAATTTACAAAAACCTAAAAAACTTACAAAAGACACTTAAAAAATACAAAAGTCTACTAACAAAAGCCTACCCACAAATGCCTACTCACAAAAGCCTACTCACAAAAGCCTACCAACAAAAGTCTACTCACAAAAGCCCACTCATAAAAGCCCACTCACAAAATCCTACTCACAAAAGCCAACTCACAAAATCCTACTCACAAAATCCTACTCACAAAAGCCCACACACAAAAGCCCACTCACAAAATCCTACTCACAAAATCCTACTCACAAAAGCCCACTCACAAAATCCTACTCACAAAAGCCAACTCACAAAATCCTACTAATAAAAGCCCACTCATAAAAAGCCCACTCACAAAAGCCAACTCACAAAATCCTACTAATAAAAGCCCACTCATAAAAAGCCCACTCACAAAAGCCTACTCACGAAAGCCTACCCACAAAAGCACACACAATTTACAAAAGCCCAACTTCCTAACTTACATTGAACTAAAAATTCAACTCAGACTTCCATCTAACAAAATATCCCATATCTTCAACTTACAAAGAAAATCTAAATCTTAAAACCTTACATAAGCGAGAAGCCACACAAAAACAAATCTAACTGCATCACCCCCCCTCCTCCCCCTTCCTTCCATCTCACATCGCACACATACACCCTTAATTAATCTAATTTTAAAAGTATGTGTACTTAATTAAACTAACCCCATCAATTTAACATACCAAACTCACAAAATCCAACATAAAAACTGCTACATTTAAAAACAAACACTTCTGCAACCACCATGTGAATCGCTACACAAAGTAATAATTGTCTCCCATTATATGTTATACAGTAAACAGGGACGCAACTCCTCCACCTGTAGCAGCGAGTACTCGGCCCTAAAACAATTTTTACCGGTGAGACGACTAACACTGCAGCACCTCTGACAGCCAGACTATGTTGGACCGTGGCAATTTATTTGAAATAAAAACACCTCTTATTCCACCTGCTTCAGTGCTCCTAGTTTAGTGCTAAATAAAAAAAAATACTGTTAATAGCCATTCTCCAATGTAGGAAAAAAAAACTAACCTAATCGCGGTTCTGCAGTCTTAAAATAAAAGGGACGGCGTGGCTTAATTGCAGAGGGTACGGCAACTAACCCTAAGGTTCCGAATTCTGATTATGGGAATACTGGGCGTACCTGTGTAATCCAAGCCCTCATGGGCACCCGACTTACATTGGGGAATGGGAAGGCGACTGCGCATAGTACCATCCCTTTAAAAGCCGTGGTCAAAAATATATTAACTCTGCTTCATCTACCCGTGAAATCGTCACTTGCGGAACGGTCAAACAACAGAACTTGAATGAAAAGGGTAAAATGGGCTATGCCAGTAGCGTAGCAAGGGTGGGGGGCGGAAGGGGGGACACATGTCCCCGGGCGCCGACCTTAGGGGGCGCCAAAATGTGTTGGGCAAATAAAGTGAAAAGTTGAGGGGGGTGCAAATCGAAAGTTTGAGGGGGGGGGGGGGGGAGGTGCAAATCGAAAAGTTTGTCCCCGGGCGCCGGAAAGGGTCGCTACGCCTCTGGGCTATGCTATCAAGGCGTGACCATATCAAACCTTACCCACACTACCAAACACAAACCACGAAAAAAAAATTTCACAGGTTTAAAAATGTATTTTAACTGCTATAATTTTTAATTATTGCCTTTTCAAAATAAACATCACCAGATTGTGTTACATTCCCCCGCGGAGGTGGTATGTCGAATTGTAAATTATAGCATTAATAAATGCTACTCCATAGCTACATTAATAATATTTATAGTACATTTAAGTAAATGGTACGGCGTGGCCGAGCGGCAGAGAACTAGACTGTTGACCCGAATGTCTCGGGTTCAAACCCGGGTTTAAGTAGACAGTAGAACTTCCCTGAGTTCACCCCAGCACTGGGTCACTTAGCTCACGTTAGGGTAAGTAGAGAGGGTTGGTGACAGCACTATAGGGCTGGTAAGTAGGTCAACAACCAGTTTTACGACTCAATAAAACCTGCATGAGCCATAGAACTGGTTGGTGACCTACTTACCAGCCCTATTCCTTTGCATGCCGAGGTCTCTGAAACACCACCCCCTAGTTAGCATTTCGAACCAGACTCGAGAATTTCGGGGAAGAAGTTGTATGCTCTGCCGTCCGACCACACACACACAACGTAAATTTATGGTGCAGAGTTTCTTTCAGGCATCTCTTCGAACGAAATGGAATGTATATAGAAAACGTATACTTTTAGCATGGTTCCCCCCCCCCCCCCCCCATGGAAAATGTTGCCCGCCCTCCCCCCCTGAAAATATCTGTAAATGTCGTCCGCCCCTTCCCCCACCCTGAAAATATCAAGTACCCCTCCCCCCGGAGAATAAAGTCTGGAAGAAACACTGTTGTGGCACAGCTGCTGATCCGATGTGATTTTTTCAAACAAGTTTTTGACGCGATGTGAGTTGTTAAAATATCATTATGATCAACAAATGGGGAATTAACTAGTTGGTAGCGAACAGAATAGGGCTGGTAAGTAGGTCACCGACCAGTTCTATGGCTCATGCAGGTTTTATTGAGCCGTAGAACTGGTTGGCGACCTACTTACCAGCCCTATAGGGTAGCTCGTGTTCACGAACGTTGTAGATTTTATGTAAACACTAGGAAGAATTAAAAGCATCGGACGTTCATAGAAAACGTTAAGACTTTTAGCTTCCAATGCTTATAGTGAAGAGAGCAAGATTTTAAAATTTTGTATTTCCTTTTCAGTGCATTTACAAGCTTATTACTGTAGCTTTTTTCTTCTTCATTTCTTTTTAAATGTGTTGTATACCGAGGATTTCGGTAGGAAAGAAATAATTAAGTTAAAATATATGATCAGATAAAAACCGCTAAACAAGAGGCGAGTGGGTTCGTACAGTGTGACGTATAGACGCCACTGCCTCAAGTCATTAGTTGCAGAGGATGCGTGCTAATAGGGCTGGTAAGTAGGTCACCAACTAGTTCTACGGCTCAATAAAACCTGCATGAGCCATAGAACTGATAAAAACCGCTAAACAAGAGGCGAGTGGGTTCGTACAGTGTGACGTATAGACGCCACTGCCTCAAGTCATTAGTTGCAGAGGATGCGTGCTAATAGGGCTGGTAAGTAGGTCACCAACTAGTTCTACGGCTCAATAAAACCTGCATGAGCCATAGAATTGATCAAATGATTTTTTTTTAAATAATCAGCGGCAGGTCAGTAAATAGGGTAAGAGAGGAGGGGAGGGGTAAATAATAACCATTTTATACACTTCCACCATGTTTAAACACTATTGGATGGAAATTAGTCCATGCTCCCTTGCGACACAGTGGTACTGTCTATGTGTTATTCTTCTGACAATGAGTCATCATCTTCACACAGTTACCTTAGTCAAGCATAATCAATTTTTCTTTACACAATAACCTTCTCCTTACACAATCAACTTCTCCTTACACAATCACCTGCCATTCCAAAGTCACCAACCACTTACACAATCAGCATCCTCTTCCACAATCACCATCCTCTTACACAATCACCTTAACCTTACACAATCACCATCCACTTAAACAATCACCTTCCACTTACAAAAACTCCCTCTTACACAATCACCTTCTCCTTACACAATCACCTTACCCTTACACAATCACCTTCCCCTTACACAATCACATTCTCCTTACACAATCACCTTCCACTTACACAATCACCTTCTCCTTACACAATCACCTTCTCCTTACACAATCACCATCCCTTACACAAACACCATCCTCTTACACAATCACCATCCTCTTACACAATCACCTTCTCCTTACACAATCACCTTCCACTTACACAATCACCTTCCCCTTACAAAATCACCATCCCTTACACAAACACCATCCTCTTACACAATCACCTTCTCCTTACACAATCACCTTCCCCTTACACAATCACCTTTTTATAACCGACCGCCTCATCACAATTCCCTGATAGATAGTTTTGATGTATTGCCTATAATCTATAAGTAGTCACAGTAGTTGATACCTGGATCCATGGTGTGGGAAGTAGATTTTGTCTCAAGTAGAGAGGAAGTATGAGGTATTGGATTTATAAGTCCTAATCTGCTTTTTCTAAGACAACAAAATCCGTAAAGAAGTCTTGATAGAAGTTAATAAAACGTAAAACAACACAATTCAAATAATTGATATTACTTTATTTCATTGTAATTTTAAATCCCAAAACTAAATGTTATCTTTTCAAAGTAGTATTTCTAATACCTTCACTAAAAATAATTTTTAAAAGAACATATTTTAAAATCATAGATTAATATTTTAGATTTCTTTTTAATTTTAAATCCAAATCTTCCCGTGAAGGGAGTTTGTGCATGCGTATTGCTTTTAAGCTGGTTTGACGTCTGTCGATGCGACTTTGATGCTCTTGACAAGCGAATGGTCCCCTTCGTCTTTAGCGATCCAGTTGTTGTAGTCAAATCTGTATATGGTGCAGCCAGGTTTCTGCGGGATGAGAGAAAATAAGGAGATTTTAAACTGCTGCATTTATTTCAATGTACAGGGCTATACAATAATCCTACTGTTCGAAGATACAAAGCACTAGCTTTTTAGATTATTCTACTGGTCATTTTAGAATCAGATACCTACACAAGTCAGGTACCCACTAGCATCACTAGAATCGAACCCCAGACTTTCACAAGCATGTGATCTCTCCCCCACACCACACCGTCCTAAGCTTAAGTTCAATGGATTAAAATAACGATGCTATAAATAGCTTACCTCTGTATTATCGTCCAGTTCTGCCAATGCTTGGGTCACGATGACCTAGGAAAAGAACATACAGAAATAACTTTGATAACTGCAAAGCTATAAAAAAACCAACTTAAAAACAAAACAAAAATATATATTTAAAATTGTCCTATCGTAGCTCCCAAACGAACCCAGGACAATATCCCTCCCCTCTCGATTGAGATTATTAGAATATATATATATATATATATATATATATATATATATATATATATATATATATATATATATATATAGCCTATATATATATATCCTATATATATATATATATATATATATATATATATATTTATATATTTATATATATATATATATATATATATATATATATATATATATATATATATATATATATATATATATATATACATATATATATATACAACCAATATATATATATATATATATATATATATATATATATATAGAGAGAGAGAGAGAGAGAGAGAGAGGATATATATATATATATATATATATATATATAGGCTATATATATATATATATAGGCTATATATATGCAAGTAGTTTACTCACATGATCAAGGAACCAGCCTGCAAACAATCCAACGTTGTCATGTCCAATTTCAATAGAGTGAATGCGTCCAACGTTGAAGGAAGTCACCTGAAGAAACATTTAGGAACGATATCTTACGTGGCTTAACACATCGGAGAGTGCTGTTGCATTTTTAACTGGTTTAATAGGGCTGGTAAGTAGGTCACCAACCAGTTCTACGGCTCAATAAAACCTGCATGAGCCATTGAATTGGTTGGTGACCTACTTACCAGCCCTATTGTAAAGTTTGTCTTTTTTTTTTTTTTTACAATTGAGATTTTGTCCTTTTGTGCTCGTTGAGTTGGTCATTATGTTTTCTGTGGTTCTTAACGCCACTCAATTTCCCGAAATCTGACAACTGCGGGAGTGTTCATAAACTCAACACATATAGCGAGGAACGTGTCACAAAGTGCTACAGACAGGCAAAACATGCTTACATTGAACTCATCTGTGACGCCCCTCTGAAAGCTGTCATTATGATGATGTGGAAGAGGAATCCTGCCAGTTGTTCCCTTTGAACCAAACAAACTGATGAAAACATTAGCGCCAGTTCCTGCTGCCAGTTTATCACCTGTTTTTACAACTATCTTGTATCCGATAAGATCGGCAAATCCTGGAAATAGTAATCCGATATATATATATATATATATATATATATATATATATATATATATATATATATATATATATATATATATATATATATATATATATGTATATATATATATATATATATATATATATATATATATATATATATATATATATATATATATATATATATATATATATGTATATATATATATATATATATATATATATATATATATATATATATATATATATATATATATATGATGAATTACCAAAGGTATCTTATCAAAAAACACAAGTAATCATGTTTGTAGCTTAGTAGATTTGTCTTGCAACGATTGTTACTTGTGTTTTTTGATATACAGACGCACATGTTAGTACAATGAAAAAAACCTCGACCAAAATACCTGGTTGTATTGCCATGGCAAGACACAGTAAACCAAACACCGTTAGGGAACTCATCTTCTGATGCTCTGCCTGCGACGACTGGTGGAACAACTAATGTGGATCTGCTAATCTGACAGACTAATTTAAGCTCTATGTGAACCTGCTAATCTGACAGACTAATTTAAGTTCTATATGGATAAGCTGATTAAGCTAATGGTTGATGATACACTCCAGTTTATCTGTTTATGCTTGTATTACTGCTATACTGTTGATGTTTTATTTAACTTTTAAGGTTAGCCTTTATTTTATTTTGAATTTGTTTATATTTGGTTAGTTAAACAACGTTTCAACAATCTTTTTTTCATGACCTAACGTTAAGTTAAAACATATAAAGTCATTAACTGTTTCGTCTCTTGCAACTTGCCTGACCATCATTACTAAACTAAAATACCCTCGACCTACATATACGACCATATTACTAAAACCTACCACTACAACCTACCACTATGATGTCCCACCACAACCCTTTATTATACCCTTCTACTACAACGTACTACTGCAATCTACTACTACAATCTACCGCTACAACCTACCACTACAACCTACAACTACAATCCTACAACTACAACCTACAACTAAAATTTACTACTACAATCTACCAAAACAACCTATCATTACAACCTACCAATATAACCTACCACTACAACCTACCACTACAACCTACTACCACAATCTACAACTACAACACACTAATACAACCTACCTCTAAAACCTAGTACTAAAATATACAGCTACAATCTTCCAAAACAACTGAGCAATTAAACCTATCATTATTACCTACAACTACAACCTACCAATACAACCCACCACCACAACCTACCACTATGATACCCCTCCAGAACCTACACATACAACCTCCCATTTCAACATACCAATACAACCTCCAATACAACCTCCAATACAACCTCCAATACAACCTCCAATACAATCTTCAATACAACCTCTAATACAACATCCAATACAACCTCCAATACAACCTCTAATACAATTTCCAATACAACCTCCAATACAACCTCCAATACAACCTCCAATACAACCTCCAATACAACCTCCAATACAACCTCCAATACAACCTCCAATACAACCTCCAATACAGCATCCAATACAATTTCCAATACAACATCCAATACAATATCTAATACAACCTCCATTACAACTTCCAATACAACCTCCAATACAACATTCAATACAACCTATAACTGCAACCTTCAATACTACATATAAATACAACCTCCAATACAACCTATAAATAAAACCTCCAATACTACCTCTAGTAAGTAGGTCACCAACCAGTTCTATGGCTCTTGCAGATTTGATTGAGCCGTAGGACTAGTTGGTGACCTACTTACCAGCCCTATTAGCACGCATCCTCTGCAACTAATGACTTGAGACAGTGGCGTCTATACGTCACAATATACGAACCCAGTCGCCTCTTGTTTAGAGATTTTTATGTGCTCATTTATTTTAACTTAATTATTTCTTTCCTACCGAAATCCTCGATATACATACATATTTTTTTTTAAAAATGAAGAAAGAAAAAAGTACAGTAATAAGCTTGTAAATGCACTGAAAAGGAAATACTAAATTAAAAATCTTGCTGTCTTTACTATACGCATTGGTAGGTAAAAGTCGTAACGTTTTCTATGAGCTTCCGATGCTTTTTACAAGCTTTTATCTCACTTCCTCTGTCTGTCTGTCCAGATCGAAACGGCCGAGCGAAATTACAGACACTTCTAACTGACAGATACGGTTCTTAGTTGGAACATGGGTCAAGACATGAAGACAATGCAACAGGGCATTACATTTGACTTAATTGGATGCCTTATTAATTTATTATTTCTACCTGTTGTTAACATAAAATGTGCAACGTTCGTGAACTCGTGATGCCCTTTTCTGTTCGCTACCAACTAGTTAATTCCCCATTTGTTGATTATATTGATTTTTTAACAACTCAATTACTGTTTGACCATCTAATAGGATTAAAGTTTAAATATTCTTACGGTGTCACGAGTGATACACGTGTGATCACTCCTGTTAAAATTAATTTAAATTTAATGAAGAAAAGAAGTCACGTCAAAAACTTGTTAACCCAGACTTTATTCTCCTTGGGGGGGGGGGGGTACTTGATATTTTCGGGGCGGGGGGGGGGGGGAGGGGGGAGACGGACCAAGATAAAAGTATATATTTTCTATATACATTCCATTTCGTGAGAAGAGATGCCTGGAAGAAAACTCTGCACCCCAAATGTACGGTGGACTAAACTAGGCGCAATGAAGCTGGAGGAATGAGACGTGTTTTTATTTCAAATAAATTGCCACGGCCCAAGATAGTCTGGCTGTCAGAGGTGCTGTACATTGAAATAAATGCAGGAATTGAAGATATCCCTACTTTCTTTCATCCCGCAGAAACCTGGCTGCACCACCTCCAATACAACCTCCAATACAACATACAAATACAACCTCCAATACAACCTCCAATACAATCTCCAATACAACCTCCAATACAACATCCAATACAACCTAAAATACAACCTCCAATACAACCTCCAATACAACCTCCAATACAACCTCCAATACAACCTCCAATACAACCTCCAATACAACCTCCAATACAACATCCAATACAACCTCCAATACAACCTCCAATACAACCTCCAATACAACCTCCAATACAACATCCAATACAACCTCTAATACAACCTCCAATACAACATTCAATACAACCTATAACTACAACCTTCAATACTACCTATAAAAACAACCTCCAATACAACCTATAAATAAAACCTTCAATACTACCTCCAACTACGACCTCCAACTACAACCTCCAACTCAACCTCTAATACAACCTACACGTATGTCTACATCCTACCTCGTCCCATGTTCATTAAAAAAATAATTGGCTTATCGCCTTTGGATTTAAGAGACGTGTAAGCCTAACTATTCAAAGCAGATGCTGGACATAAATCAACGATTTTGTTTAACCAGAGAACTCAAATTAGAAGTGTTTAATTTATTTCTAATACGTTTAGACTTAATAGAAAGATCCGCTGCAAAGATGGCCAGGGATAATAGATGACCCCAGGAGCCTGAGTAGGTTTTTGGGTTGGGGGGTGGGGGGAGGGATAGGTAAGTCCACACACACACACACACACACACACACACACATATATATATATATATATATATATATATATCTGTAAAAGTATCTGACTATAATTAAAACGTAAATATATAGTACAAGCTATAAACCTTCCTTTAAACTTTAAACCGTTACGTAAGAGTATGGAAACGTAGTTAATGTAAAAAATGTATACGAATACGAGATATACCTAAATGGTCTATACTCTTTATGTTTCCATTCTTTCCATGGTACGAGCTGTCTGTATTTCTCTTCGTCTGCGTTTCTGTAGAGAGTTGTTTTTTTTACGATATGTTGCTGACCGTATACTTAACCCCCAACATGGAAGACCGGGATGCTAGCTTTTGTCTGACCCCTACCCGCGCAGATCTTCACAGCTTGGGGCAAATGCCCGAATGGACACTTGCCCTAATGGACACTTGCCCGAATGGACACTTACCGAATTTGGCAAATGCCCGAATGCCACTTGCCCGAATGGGGTAAATGCCCGAATGCCACTTGCCCGAATACAAAAAAATCCCGAATGGACACTTTCCCGAATGGGGCAAATGCCCGAATGGACACTTGCCCGAATGCGACAAATGCCCGAATGGACACTTGCCCGAATGCGACAACTGCCCGAATGGACACTTGCCCGAATGCGACAAATGCCCGAATGGACACTTGCCCGAATAGGGCAAATGCCCGAATGGACACTTGCCCGAATGCCACTTGCCCCAATGGACAAATGCCCAAATGCCACTTGCCCGAATGCGACAAATGCCCGAATGCCACTTGCCCGAATGCGACAAATGCCCGAATGCCACTTGCCCGAATGCGACAAATGCCCGAATGCCACTTGCCCGAATGTGACAAATGCCCGAATGGACACTTGACCGAATGTGACAAATGCCCGAATGGACACTTGCCACTTTTTATCGCCTTGTTCTATTTCCCTTTATTGTTTATATTACTCCATTTTAAATCGAAATTTAAAGCTTCTGTACATTTACATATTGTGCAAGACAAAATCTGAACGAATAAATGTTACGATCGCGTCAAGGCCTAAGCCGAGGTTTTGCTCAGCGCTTCTTGAGTTGGTTGAGTCTAAAGGGTTGTGGTTGATCTTCCTTTCTGCTGTAGCTGATTAGTTCTGAAATGATAAAGTTTGTCATGTGTGGTGTTTGAGGTAGTCACTGATGTTGGATCTTATTTATTCACGGTGTTGATTTTTGCTGGATTGTGTTAGTAGCTTTTTGTATTGAGT